GCGTCGGGGCAGCCAGCTCTGGGCTTCTGGGCCATACGTTTCCCCCTCTTTTGTTAGTTCAAATCGAGTGTGACCCGAAGCTGATGTGAGGTAAACCACCCTGGCAGTCGGGTGTTCCTGCGTCCTAGCTGTTGGGTCTTGTTTTCCTTATCTTGTCGGCTCCAGCATGGTTTAGGCTGACTGCTGTAAGGTGTTAGGAGCTCCTCTTAAAGAGAACATAGCACTCAGGCTCACTTCCATGGGCTGAGTCTGAGGATGGGTGCCCAGGAGGAACAGGAAGTGTGTGTCTGTGTGTGGGCGGCGGGGCTGGGGTCAGGGTCAGCTCCAGACCCAGCTGGGCTCCTTGGAGAAACCTGGAGCGCCTCGCACAGTTGCTGGGCAGGGCATCCTGGACCAGCTGTGGCTGCAGATGGGCCCCAGGGCCTGCTCACTGACGCTGACGTGAGCTGGTGGGTTTTCGTTCATCAGTGACATCTTGTGTCTTAAATTACATGACTCAGATGCTGGGAGGGAAGTCTGGTTGGAGTTTATTTTTATAAAGAGCTATAGGAGTGGCTCCCGTGGGTCCCAGAATGAGAAATTAGAGCTATGAGCCACCCCTATACCTGTGTGCTGATGGCACTTGGAGTGTGGCCTGGGCCTCCGGATCAGATGCCCGGGGAAGGGAGCGTAGGCCCAGAGGAGCTGAGGAAGAGACCCCAAAGGAAGGAAGCCCCATTTGTCCGTTTAGGGGTGGAGAGACTTGGTCTTTGTCGGTGGCAGGAAGCCTGACAGGACGTTGTTTTCTCTTGAGACGGTTGACAGCTGTGGCCCTTCGAGGCGGCCCCTGCATGGGGCCACGGGTGTGCTCCTCCACGGCGCATGGGGGAGCCCTGCATGTCAGGCCCCTGCCTAGCTGGTTCCTGCCCTGCCTACAGGCTCTGGATGGCTGCAGGCAGCACCACGTGCACATTGGCTGCCACCCATCGTGGGGTGGATGGGGGCCGTTGGGCACCCCTCATCTTGGAGAGTGACGCTTATGGCAGACGTATCGCTAAATGGACATACATACAGACACACTGCTAAGTGGTGGCCGCAGACCTGGCAGACCCAGGGCTGATTCAGAGAACCAGGGTCTGGGCCCAGCGAGCAGCCTGAGCAATTGTCCAGACCACGCGTGTTGTCAGGAAGGGCAGCCTGAGACCCAGGCCCCGGAGCACTTGTCTCTCCTTCCACCGGCAGGGCTGTGAGCAGGTTGTGTCTGTGATGTGCCTGTAGGGTTGGGGTCACAGCCAGGAGCCTTCCTGTCACGCTGTCTGCTCAGGGGACTGGCCTGTAGCGGTGGGGACCCAAAGAGTGTGAGAGTTGGGGCCGGGGCTCCCTGCTTCCCTGCCGAGCCTGTAATCTGGTTAGGGGTCTGCCCTGTCTCCCACTTTGGGGCCGTGGAAGGCTGGGCGCCCTGCCTGGGGTATCCCTGGTCAGGCCGCTGCGGGGGACCAGACCCAGCCCTGCCCTGCGTGGAGAAGGCGGGAAGCGTGTGTCGCTGGCAGAGGCCCGAGAGCTGGAGGGACAGCGGTGCCCATTAGTGCTGCCGGGCCTCAGTCCACCTCCCCTGGGTCTTCTCTGAGACCACCGCAGAAGGAGTGCCGGTGGGACCGGAGGCGTCCCCGGGGCCGTGCCAGCACTGGCTCGGGCTGGGGATGGGGCTGGGGCTGGCTTGCGGGTGAGTGGTTTGCTGGACCGGCCCCCAGGAGTGCGAGAGGCCCTCCTGGGCTGGCTGAGCCGAGGGGCACTGGCGGAGGGGCAGGCGGAAGGGGGCTGTGTCCCAGGCTCGCTGGCCCAGCCCTCCCCGAGGCCCCATCACCTGCCGCCCTCTCCTGGGAAGGCAGTTCGCTGGCCACTTGGGGTTGACACGTCATCTCAATCTGGAGCCAGCTGGGCCACAAACGGAGCTCTGCCTGGGTGTGAACCCCAGGAGTGCACGTGGGCTCTGTGCTCCCCAGGGCTGTCTCCTCCGGACCTGGTGAGCACGGCTGCCCTGGGATGGGCCCGCCCTCAACACCAGCATGGACAGCGCTTAGCAGCCAAGCAAGTGGTGACTGTGCCTTTTAACGCCGCCGCTTTGGGTGGGCGCCCCCTGGGACGCCCTCTGGGTGATGGTGCTTGGGGTCTGGGGTCCTGGTGGATTTGAGGCCTGGCAGGGCTTGGAAAACCCTTTTCACCTCTGTCTGGACTAAACGCTATGCTCCCTGCCAGCCTTTCCATGGGTCTCACCCAGAGCTGCCGAACCCATCGTGGGTCCTGGGGCTCCAGCGCCTGTGCGGCCGCTCCAGGCTCTAAGAACGTGGTCGGTGGCGGGAGTGAGGTGATCTCAGGAGCCCAGGGAACCGCGGGGCGGGGGTGGGGGCGATGCCAGGGGTGCCCCACCCGCTCTCTGGTGCTGCTGCCTCTACGCAGCCTCACGCAGAGCTGTCGCAGCCTTGGATGCACTGAGGGTCAGGGTCAAAAGCAGGGTTGTCACTGTGGATGCCCCTCTGCCACCGTGGATGCCCCTCTGCCACCGCATCCAGGTGCTGGGACAAGGAGGTGCCGAGTGCCTCCTGCCCCAGCGGCTCAGCACCTGTTAGGGCGGTTTTGTGCTTCTGCTTGAGCACTGGGTGGGGCGGCGTTCCGTATATTTGAACCTCCAGGATCAAGCACCCAAGAAAGTGTCGGTTTTCAGCTCTGCGCTGGTGTGAGGACTGATCTGGGGGCTCGAATGGGACTCTCTCTAAGGGGTGTGGCTTCTGGTTGTGGCTTCCAGGTGCGCAGGGAGAAGTCGGTTAACGGTGCTGGGTTTGTTTTTTGTTTTAATTAACAGGCTTTATTTATTTATTTATTTATTTATTTTTCTTGCGTTATGCGGGCCTCTCACTGTTGTGGCCTCTCCCATTTGCGGAGCACAGGCTCCGGACGCGCAGGCTCAGCAGCCATGGCTCACGGGCCCAGCCGCTCCGCGGCATGTGGGATCTTCCCGAAACGGGGCACGAACCCGCGTCTCCTGCATCGGCAGGCGGACTCTCAAGCACTGCGCCACCAGGGAAGCCC